AATTGCAACTGTATGACCTGAAATCTGCCTATAGTTAGTGTGATATTGAAGACTTACAGACTGTCTTCAAAGAAAAACAATAAACAAAACAAAAACATACACACTACTAAACCTTTGTAGACATACTCAGCTGAAAGGTTGGAGAGTTCGTTGGCCCTAGAAGGAGGCTGATTAGATTCCCCAGACATGCTGGGAAGTATGAGGCGCCTTTAGGCAAGTCACTCAACTCAAGCTGCTGTGCTGCAGACATGAGAGAGAAACCCAACTGGGGCTAATCTGTCTCTTTTCAACTATGTTTGATGACATTACTTTGTGGTTACTGCAATATTTCCCAAAGGAATAAGGACCCAAACCATCTCTTTCTTTCATCCCATATCATCCGTGGCAACAAGCAAAAGAAAGGTGTTAAATATCACAAAAACATAACCAAATGTAAGTCTGTTCACGTAAGAAATAGATCCCTGGGGCGAGTTTCAGTCCTCCTGTGACGTTTCAAATGCCCTGTTGACACTTGTAACTGTCCAGGGATTTACACTCAGTGAGCATAGAGTCATGCCAATGCTATATTCCATGTCTGTCAGCACTATATGAGAACAAACAGCAACAAAACCAAAGCTGTCTGACTGATCAGCCAAACAGCAACAACACTAACACACTACTGATTATTTCTCTGGAAATATTTTACTATTAAAAATGACAAAGCTGCAAAATACCAAACACAACCAGAATGATAGCCAAAAGATTTTACAAAGAGAAAAAGTCCTGTCACTCTAACAAGGATCCACATAAATACCGATGATTCAACTCATGAGCTGAGGAGTCCCCACGTTATCAGTCCAGTCATCTGCCTATTTGTTAAAGCATCAGTATACACAGAAGCATCAGCCCACACTGGCGACTATGAGTTGACCTGGAAGTTTTTCCATTCGGGTGCTAACTGAAATTACTTCATGACTCTTTATTGGAAAACCAAAAAGGCTGTTAGAAAAAGATGACTCGTATCTAAAGGCTAACCCCAGCCCTACTGTGTAGTCACATAAGATAAGATAGTTATAAGATGGAAGTCAGATACTTTCTGCTGTTTTTGATGGTCAGGGTGACCCCTATGCCTACATATATAATACTGAGTGTCTCTTTAAAAAAGGAAACTTCAGCATCCCTGGATACCATTATCTGCTATGCTGTACCCTTAAATGTTGAAACAACACTGACGTCACAGAGCTGCATCATGACGCTCTCTGCCCGTCTGCTGTCTGCATGGTACAGCTCTGTGTATGCGTGTGTTTGTGTAGCTGTGTTTAAAATATATCACAGTTTGCAATGCCACTGTGTTCATCACCTCGCACCGCTGGCCCACAAGAGAAACATGAACAACACGGCTTATGGATGGAAACATAAATCTAGGCACTAAACTCATAGGAACCTTTAAAACAGTAAGAAGATCAAAAGCCAGACAATGTTGCAAATCCAAGACTATTCATTTCAGAAACATTTCAGGCACCTGAATTCTGTAAACTTTGTTTCCCAATTTTCTTTTCTTTTTCATTTCATTTTGTATCCTAAGTATATGCAGCACGAAGCCCACAGATTGTTACCTGAACCTCTATTCTAATGTTTTCAACAACTCATCTTTCTGTATAGCAAACTGTCTTGCAGTAGGCATTGAGTTTTACTATAAGCATCTGTCATGATCCAGGTCATCTTCACTTGATCTCTGCTCCCTGTGATGATGATAAAAATAAGATCATACCTTGTCACATCCAGTATTCCTTACACAGCTGTAGATCTATGAACTGACCATAGCTGGGTGATGAAAGCATAAATGTGTAGGCTGTCTAATGTCATGACACACGACTTGGATTACAACAATCCTTACTGAATATCGGGTCATCTTGAATCCAGACAGAGATTCTGTCAGAGTCGGGCGGGGCGATAAAACGATAGCAATAATAATAATAAATAATAATAGAAACAATAAAAATGGTCGCTAAATGTTCGATATAATTAATTGCCATGCTTATAGCACGCACACAAATGAATCACGAACGGCAAATCATGTCGCAGGAATAGAGGTCTGCATTGCACAAGTTAGGATGCACGGTGAGAAGTATACATACAGGCCAGCACGTGATATTATTTACAGACGCACGTAGTGGCTGACGGGCTTGAAGTTGGAGTGGAGTAAGCAAATGAGGCGAAATAAGCGACACCGCAGAAAAAGCAGAGCGCAGCTCGGGGACGAAGATATCGTTGACGAGAGAGGACACTCAACTTCAGTAGTTAAGAGATATTTTGACTATTTACAGTCCGACAAAACACAGAGCAATGTGCACTGCACACTGTGCCGGAAACACGTTCTATCAAAGACAGGCAACACCACAAACCTGTTTCATCACTTGAAACAATATGACCCGTTAGAACACAGAAAGTAAGAAATTACAGGGCCAAACGAGTGGACCCTCGACGAGCGCCAGGGTAGTACCCAGTGCAAATCTTCTTTATGTATTTTTTTATTTTGCTGTCTGATCATGTTACATGTGTATTGTCTCACACTGCAGAACTTAATTTTCTATTCACTTTGTTGAGTAAAAAGGATTGAAAAGGATTTTGATTTTAATCATGCATATTTTATCATATTTTGAATGTTTGTACCTCAGAGTTTTTAAATGTTCTGCTGTTTGTCAAGTGTTTCTCATGTTATGACTTAATAGAACAGTTTAAATCCACAATTGACTGTCTGGTTTCTTTCACTCAACTTTCACTCAGGAGCAAAAATCAGCCTTTAAACCTGAAAGAAATAACGATGTGGCATTTATCGTGGTAAATACCGATATCGACTGATATGGTCATTTTTATCGTGTTTAACAGTTTTGGCCATATCGCCCAGCCCTATGTCAGAGTACTGATTTGTATTGACCTATGGGTTAACAATGAGGCAGCCCAATATAAACGCAATTCACCATTTAGCCAACCGTCTGCAGAAGAAATGCCATTTGAGCTCAACACTGACAGACCAATTAACAACACAGCATGGGAGAACGTTTCAGTTTAGAGATATACAGTGTACTCAGATCTCTCCACTTTTTCAGAGTTTGTTATGTTGCAGCTGTATGCTAAGATCGTTTAAATTCATTTTTCCATCATCAATCTACACTCAGTATTCAGACCTTTTACTCGGTATTTAGTTGAAGCATCTTTGTCAGTGATCACAGCTTCAATTCTTTTTGGGACGCAACAAGCTTTGAACACCTGAATTCTAGGATTTTGTGCCATTCTTTCATGTAGATCCTGTCAGGCTCTGTCAAGGTTGGATGGTACAAGTGTACAACCATGTGGACAGGTCTCTCTAGAGGTTTCCAGTCGTGTTCAAGTCAGGGCTCTAGCTGGGCCTCTCAAGGACATTCACATAGGGCTGGGTGATTAATCTGATTTTGTTTTCAGTTAAGATTTTGGCTTCTAACGATTATGAAAACAAAATAATTGAGATAAAACAATTATTTTGTGCCACATTCTGTTCCGAAACAAATTTCATCCCCCCTACAAAAACCATCCACTTCTGGGTTACGTTTCAGCTTACGTTAACAACGCTCGTAGGAGTGTGTCATCTTGAGCAGTCAGCCGCTTCAGAGACTTTCTATATATAGTTGGACCAGCCTTTAATTTTCTTGGACTGAGTTACCGGAATAGCTGACCGGAATATGTTGAATATAGTTTACCAAAATATTGAATATGTGTTTGAGTTTTCAGCATGTAACACAGGCTATTTGGTCTAATTCATTTTTATTTATTATTTTTATATACTGAACATGTGTTTAGTAGTTTTCAGGAGGTTGTGGAAGTACACTAATGTTACAACATAGTAATTTTGATCTAATCTTAATTTTTAATTAATTTTTATATTATATATTTAAATGATATATTATTTATTATTTAAATTAATTATCCCATTTTTTTAAATTTGTTTTTCTGTTTAATTGTATAAAGTTCAAGAAAGTCCACTGTTAAAAAGACAGTTTTTTTAAGTTCAATAAATGCGTGGTATTTCCAAAGTCAATGAGAAATCGTGTGAAATAATTGTGATCTCAATATTGATCAAACTAATCGTGATTATGCTTTTTGCCATAATCGAGAAGCCCTACATTCACACAGTTGACCCTTAGCTACTCAAGTGTTGTCTTGGCAGTGTGCTTAGGACCATTGTCCTGTCCTGTTGTAAGGTGAGCATTAGGCCCAGACTGAGGTCCTGAGCACCAGGTTTTCATTAAGGATATCTCTGTACTTTGCTCCATTCGGCTTTCCCTCCCATCCTAGCTGCGATGTTATTGGGCAGGCGATGAACGGTGCCTGGTTTCCTCCAGACATGACGCTTAAACTGAGGTCGAACAGTCCAATCTGTGTTTGACCTCTGTCCAACTAACAGGAGACTATTGATGTCTGAAGTGATTTTTATGACCCTACAGTATACATAGTGAAGTTAATGAATATTTTTGTAGTATCTGTTTTTGGTGTTGCACTTTATAGACGGTCCCTGCTCACTCCTCTTACAGCCGGCTGCTCAAAGAGACCAGTGTTATTCTTCCAGCTCTGAGCACGGCTCGTTTAGATGAAAATTAGGTTGTAGCTCGTTATCTACTACGGGTGGAAAGAGGCGTCGTTTGTGTTTTAACGTCTCGCTTATAAGATATTGAATTACGAATCTGTGAATATCTTTCCAACTTTACCGAAGTGTTTTCCAGAGGAAGGAAATAAATCCAGTGTTGTCCTTAATCAGCGTAATATCGTTCAGCTGGCTGTAACCACATCTAGTTACATGATAACCGAGACGACGTCTGTGTCTTACAGTGATTGGATTTCAAAATATAACGGACAATATTTTTTATTAAATCCAGGGAACACTAATTGATATTAACAGTGTGTCATGTAAAGGTCGTTCAAGTAGCTTGACAACACACAAAGAAGATCAATCATCCTGTAAGAAAAAGAAATTAACATTTTCTCACCTAGAGTGCGTCTGTTTGCTGCTCGACTGCCCGTTTACTCCGTTTTATTTCTCAGTTTTCTGACCGTTAACGAACCGTGTGCTGCAGTGGTCTCGTGCAGCAGCTCCGTGTGAGGACACGGGGATGTACAGTACCAGCACGCGCTCCGGCTGGGTGACGAGAGAACTGCAGGCACGAGAGGCTGCCGCGAGGGGCTCGACCAACCTGTTGCTTACGTCAGCACAGCGTACTGCCATCACTCTGCCTCTCTGTTGACAAGAAACGAATACGCAACAAAAAACATCTAAAAACACATAGATATGACATTTCTGTATCAAGTGCCTTATTTTTTCACTGTATTTTTTTATTGTGTCTATCTAAATCATCATCATGCGCAGTTGATAGTTGATCTGTTGTGTACCGCTAAGATTCATTTACACTGCATTACTCACTATACAGTTTCATTATTTCCCTAGGCATCTAGAAAAGTCTACGTATATGTATATATATATATATGTATGTACATACATATATATAGCATATATATATATATATATATATATATATATGTATGTATGTATGTATGTATGTATGTATGTATGTATGTG